TAAACATCTAACATATAAATAAAAAACCTAAAAAAGCCCCTAGATTAATTTGACCTGAGAATATATGTTTTCCTTAGTTGTAGATTTTTTTTTTCTTTCCTAGATTTGCTTTCAGAATATAAATCCCATTCTAATCCTGTTATTTTTGGGCTCAATATTTATCATTTTCTAAAGAGGAATTAGGATGTTTATATCCAGTCCTGGGAAGCAGTAAGGCAATATTATTTAGTGAGGTTTATTTATAAAGGCAATAAACTCTGCAAAAATATTTTCTTTGACCACTTACAAGTTTATAGCTCTGTTGCTGCTTATGTGCACATGTGTTTCTTTTTTGTTGCCCAGTAAATAAGTATGTCACAACAATCCCTGAAATTTCACACCAGCCAATTCTCATTATCATTTTTAAGGAAAATGAGGAAAAAAATTAAATATCCAGATTTGTTTAGAAGGGTAAAGAGACTGAACTTATTTAATTTTTTAAAAAGAATATTTATTAACTCTAGTTTTAGTATGTTTTGTTTATGTTTGAAATACCATACAAAGTTATAACACATAATGGACAAATTTCTCTTAATTTTCTGTGTTTGTGTCATATTTCATTTGAAATATAGTTAGTGAATGAAGGTAATCTTTCTTTTATTTATGATTTTATTGTTATTTTGTTCTTTTTTGCTGTTGACCAGAGGAATAAGAACTGACAGTGTTTGCAAAAGTGTAATATAAGTAATATTTTAAAGGCTTGGTATTTTCTTTTAAATTTTAGTAACTGTTACACCCACAATTTCTTTACTTTTAAAATTGTACATATTAGTCAGAGAAATGGTTCTTAAGTTGAAAATGAACGAGTTCACTCTGCTCACTTTTGTAGAAATACATGCTTTAGAAGCTGTTTGTTGTGTGTTTATCTTATTACAAATCCCATGCAGGTTCTTTTTGTGCCTCAGTTACCAGAAAGTTCTAAGAAAACCTGGTCGAGTTTGAAGTAACAAAAACATTTAATAGCTTCTAATTTGTTTTTTATCTGCATATATTGTACTCTATATCTACTTTTTATCAATTTTTCTCACATTGTAATACGAGAAATCTGGAATCCTCTTTGGAAGTACAGGTGATAAAAAATAACAAACTATTTGAAGTGACTGTGGTAAACCACAGTAAAGAGCAGCAGAAGTCAATTTTGCTTTTGCTATTTGCTAGGCTACTTAGTGTATCTGAGCAAACAGACAAGTTGTATATTTTGGGCTGTGATTGACTCTTCATGGTTCTTAAAACCACAGCCTTTATTGCATCATCAAATATCTTAAAAAGAAGTAACAGGAGGATAATAAATTATTATGTTGCACAAATGGATAGAATGAGTAGAGGAAGAAGAGACAATGAACAATGATATTTATTCATAGACATAGAAGGAATATCAATTTCAGATGAGAAGAAAAGCTATTAACAAAATATTTTGTATAACTCCAACAATTCTGCAAAGCATGGAATAATTTCTCTTATAATTAATATATTATCAGGATGCTAGAAATAGAAGTGCTGAGGAATATTATTAGTATTATCATTAGACCTATTTCTCCCTGGATACATAAAAATCACAAAAGGCTGGATACAAGCATTTCAGCTTATAAAGCTGTTTTAATGTGAACATAAATTTGCTTTATGAAATTTGTGGTTGACCCTCAGAAAAGCAATAATCCCTGGAAGCTCTCTCTAAAGAGTTTGAATGCTGATCCATGCGCTAGCCACCTCTAGAGGCCAAAGGAATTTGCTACTTGAAAAATAGACTGGAAAGTTCTCGAACCTCACCCAACTACAAACCTTGCAACCAGATCCACAATAATATTTGCATCTGCTTAATAAAATATACAGAAAAGGGTATGGCAATTGCAAGACCCATCATGAATCCTGTTATCAAACATTAAGCAGCTGGGAGCCCTGTCATCCTCACTTTGCAAAATGTTTGAAATTAAATTACAATTAGAAAGATGCAGAGGGAAGTTTGTGATGAACATCTGCCTCCTATATTTGACTTACAGGGAGTAGATAATGTAGACCGCTCTTCCAAATGTCATCTTGAACAAAGATTTTAATTACATTTTTTTGGTATTAGAGAGTAAGTTTTTGTCCTCCATTTCCTACCTGTGAGACTTTAGGCAAGTTAGTTCATCTCTTTGGACATTTGTTTCCTCATTGATAAAACATGGAAAGTCAAAGTAGATAACCTTATTCGATTACTGTGAAGACTATGTGAGATAATACGTATCACTTATTTTGAAGTGTTGGCACATAGGAAGGCTCAATCAACTTTAGCTTGCATTTAACTAGGTTTCACTTCCTGGTAAAGCAAAACATTATATTCAATAAACAAACAAGCAGGAAATCACTTTTCAATGAGAATCCTGGCTCACAACCCTCTCAGGTGAAGTAACTCAAATCTTGACATTTACTGCAGTGAGTTGTAGATGATCTTCACAGTAAAGACTCTTTCAAAACCTGATAAGCTTTGGAAACTCTTTAAAAGGATTTTCCTCAATACTTATAGTTCGATATTGCAGCATTAATTTTTAAAAAGTTCTTAGGAAAAAGAAGAAACAAAGAAAAGCAACTTGAAAGAATTTCAGTGATTTTTATTTATTTATTTATTTTGGTTTATTTTCTTATGGAATGCTGATGATATTTAAATATGTTAGGAGAACATTGGTGGTTTCAGAAATACAATTTGAACTAAAAAAGATATGTCAGTTAGGTAACTTTTCCTTTTAAAGTACACTAAAAATCATATGTGGCCCTTTAGTGTTAAGAACACTTCATTCTTTTGAGCCTTTAGGTTATACTTGGAAAATACCTTTCTGTTAGTGTCTGAAACTTTCATATTAACACCACCTCAAATATATATGTGTGTGCATGTACGTGTTTTAGACCAGCCCTGTCCTGGATAAACTTCAGTAGCAAATGAGAAGAGCATTTTGTGAAGCATTTGGTTGAATTTAATTTTAGGTGTTCCAAGGAAAATAATTTTCATGTGTGTGGGCAAATTATTCTAGTCAGTGAGGGATTGTTTAAAAAGAATTGATTCGGTGTTAACATGTCATTGAATGTGAGGGGAGGAAAGCACAATGCCAAGTGTGTATCTAAATTAACTCAGCCCAATAGATTAGGTTCACCACCTTCCCATGCAAAAAAACTTTTAGGTGATCTCAAATGAATGCTACATTGTTCAGAGTGCTAAAATTTTCCAGAAATCTATAATCATTTTGATCAGAACATAATCATTAAGCAAAAATGGAATGTCTGAGTGTCTATAGAAATTCTCCCCTACCCAATCTTGACTCTTTTCTCTATTTTCATTTCGTGATAATCTTTTGTGTATGTGTGTTTTCTTCTCCTCGTTACAGTGCATTCTTCCAAATGATTCCCTTTCTATTAATTCTGTTATCTCTTTATATTATTTTCCTTCCCTTCCTTCCTCTGCTCTCCCTGCCAAAATATTTTTTATTGAAATAAATGGTTTCAGAAAAGATGCATGAAAATAACTAACAGGGAGTTAAGGATCATATCAGATTACTTATCTTAGATAATGTTGGGTTTTTTTAGAAATAACAGTAAAAATTTATACCACCAGCCAAGAAACAAATATGATAAACCTGGAATCATTTATTTTACCTTATTTCTAAAAGATTTTCATGTGATAGGAGATATATACCACGGTAGATAACATAAGCATATCATATTTATATCTGTGTAGCCTAAGAGAAATTATATTTGGTGCTGAGAATGTAGAATCATATTGCTCCTATTGCCCCTTGACTTCAGACCTATACACCTTACAATGACCAGGCATACACCCACCACTTGTTTACAAAGCTTGCATACCAAATGGGGAAACCCATCTGCTAAATGCAACAAGAAGGGTTTTTTTTGTTTTTTGAGTATATGAAGATGGGCCCTTCTTTAAAGGCTATGTTGAAATCTAAATGCCTAAGATGTACAATTATTTCCCCCTCAAATGAACTAATCCTGGAATCTATGTATTAATTATTCCACTAACTGTCTACTCTATTGCAATGGAGCTGTAGCAGACGTATCTCTTTGGATACAAAATAAAGGACTTGTATTATACATTTTTCTAATATTTAACACAACCTTACAAGCATTAAATCACATAGCTCATTTCTCTCAGTGATGGTAAAGAGACATTATTTCCATTACACAAGTCTAATTGCCTTTAAGAAACATCGTAAGAACTAAATTAGGGAAAATATTATCACTGTTATTATGCTCTGAGTTAAGTATCCAATGTTTGCTTTGTGTCTGGGTCTGTTTCTAGAGCCAAAACTCTCAGCAATAGAAATTGGATCAGATTACAGTTGTGTAGTGGATATCTTAGTTTTGCATATTTCCTCCATCGGACAATACATATCTAGATTAATTATCTTACATCAGTGTGTATGAATAAGCCCCAGAGCTGTTTAGATATTTGTATTTTACTTTCTAGCTCTTTTGTCTTATAATCTATCACCTATCTCACGGAAATAACAGTGAATTACCCGTGGCCAAGTAGCCTTCTCATATTAAAGGTACATTTTAAGTTGACTCTAGAAACAACCAGCTTTAAAAATGTAATTGGCCTTCATTTCTTTGAAGATTTCTTTTGGAGATACACTTACCATAAAAATGTGCTCTGTGGGAATTTGACAAACTAGCTGTTAAGATAAATCATTTTTAGTTCACGGGAGAAAGCAAAAGCCTCACTATTTTGTTGTTATTGTTTACTGTATCAAAAATAAACTCTAATTTTTAACTAGCTATGTGCATATAAGTCCAGATATTGTTTGATAAAATGAGTCAAGCAGGGAAACTTCCATTTCTTTGTAATGACACAGCAAATATGCCCTTATCTCTAAAAACATTAAGGATGACAGAGTGAAGCCGTCCTTTGTTTTTCCAAGTATCTTTAGCACTAACAGAAAAATTTAAATTATGGCATGTTTACTTTGCAGGAGCCAGTGAGAAAGAAATAGTCCTAATGAATGGCTTGACTGTTAATTTACATCTTTTACTGGTAAGTTTCCTTTACTACCCATGTTTCGTATACATTCATTTACAGAATCTGACATTTTTCTATCTTTAATTCATGAGCATCTGGTGGTTTACCTACTTAAAAATATGTCGTGAGGTTATTTTCATTTTTAGCAGGAAATGCTGGACCATGATAGAATTGCTTCTTCATACTCATGGGAGAGTTGACTCTTGCAAAGCATTTTGAAATAATGAACTCTTTTCTCAAAACATAAGAAATAAGAGTCACAGTGGGTAAAAAGCAAAACTGCTCACAAGCACACAAAACAATGATATACAAATGCGAACAAACACTGAGCTTTACAGAAAGACAGTTTTTCAATACACTGGACTTCAGCAGCGGGGGATAATGAATCAGTATGTTTTTGTAGGTTAATTTTTGGAAATAGGTTAAAAAAGAATTTGAAAATAAAACTAAACTGGAGAAAAAGGACCTAGTGCCTGAAATGAGTTATTGTGTTTAAGGTGCTTTTACATCATGAGTATTTAATAAATGTCAAAGACATTCTTGATTTGAAATATGGTGCCTGTAGTAATTGCTTGATGCTTTGAAAATCTTTTCATTTTTAAGTAAGTTTTTGTAATCATGTCTGCATGACTAAGATGAACAATGAAGGCATTAATGTTTTATTTTAGGAAAATGGAAAAGTGATTATTAAATATGGCTGGCTGCAGAAACATGCTTATGGAGTATGTTAAGTAGCATAGTAAAAAGCATAGTTTTCAGTTCAGACATCCCTGGGCTTGATTTCCAGATAAGATACTTAATGCCTCTTTGAATTTCGACAAGTTTTTGACATTTTTAAATTGTAATTTTCCCCTTTGTACAAATGAAGATAATACCTACCTTGTAGGTATGCACGAGTATGAAATGTGATAATATATGAAAATCACTTTAGCACCCATGTCAATGGTCAACACATAATTAACAGTAGCGACCATTTTCATTGCTATTATTGTCAGTCTCATGCTCCAGGAAGTATGGGGAGAAAAAAAGGCCCCACTGAACGAAGGAGCCACTTCTCCCTGGGGCCTTGAGAAATGTGAAATATTTCATGCTAGGGCTAAAGGACTTTTTAGTTAGACCTAAAATAAAATCCCATAAAATAATAAAGCAGTGGAAATATTATGTACTAGAAACCAAATCGGCAGTGGAAGGTAAAATCAATATAAATAAGACTGAGCTTTCAGTCTCACAATAGAGAAATTACCCTTAAATGCATTAGGAAGATAATTTTTCAATTAAAATTTAAGTAAAGTCTGAGGATTTATACTTTCTTAGTCACATTTTCTCCAGAACTTGCCTGTCTCTTCTTTCTCTTTATAACTCCTTGGAAAGGAGGCTAATTGGAAAGGTACCCTTGACAGACACCTAGATGTGTAATTAATTAATGCCTTTTAAATGCTGGTTTATAAAATGAAAGTCTAGTATAAAATAAACAAATGTATAATTGTTCATTAATGTTTTTCTCAATAAATCTATTTTATTACAGTTATCATTTTTTAAGCCTACACCGAAAAGGTACAAAATTCTTCTTGAAGCCAAAGCCTTCCCTTCAGATTATGTAAGAATCTTCAAATTATGTTTCTGTTCTGTCTGTTGTTCCTAGAGAAGCGTATCATTTGCCTGACTCGAATGTTTATTCACCAGTCTTTTCCAAGCAACCTTAGAATAAAAAGATCTGTCAAATGCTTTTGATTTAGGCATCTTTAAAAATAAATTATAGCTTTATTTCTTTTGTTCAAGTTAAACATGTGCTAAGGGAGGAAAGAATTGAACAGGAACTTTGATGTATTAAGTCTTTTTCAACGATATCCAGCAAACCGCTGATCTAAATCAAGTGCAGTTATAAATGTTTTGTTAATTCTTGTTGCTCTTTTATTTTATAATATCAAATCGGTACATACCCCAGTGCTTCACCCTTTAGCTACACAGAATAGTGATACGAACTTTTATTTGTCCATTTTTATAGCACCCTAGCATAAGTGTTAAATAATTATGTATTCGAGATTAAAAACATTTCTTGTGGTTCACTAAAACAAGCTTTTCAGTCGATAAGAAGTTAGATTGTTCTAGACACAAACACAGATAAAAGTATATTGCACATTTCAGCTTTAGTGTTAGAGAAACTCGAGTTTTATCTTTAGATTATCACTGTTAACTATTCTAGCCCACATCCTGTAACTTTAAGCCATTTAATTATGCCCATATTAATAGCCATTACCATACTCAAAAGCATCAAAACCTTAATATCTTGAAAAAAATCAGGTTCACTATTATTGCAACCCATTCAGACCTTGCACTGTCACTGAAGGAGCTTTTCGATGTCCTTCCCTTTCACTGGCTTTCTTTTTCTAGGGCGAGCCGTGTGTATATTCTCTGTTCAAGCCTAGCAAGTGCACACTCCTCGCTTTGGTTATGTTTTAAATGCTGGTTTTGACTTGCCCAGGTGATTTCACATCTTATTCTAAAAACCCCTTATAACTCCCCGAAGTGTAGTTCGCTCCTGTTTCCATTTCTCTCTGTTGTTTAGGATTTTAAGGAATGTTCCGATTCCAGCATGTAAATCACATTGAGCGGCTCTTCTCTAATGGATTGTGTTTAGTCACTTGTAACCTTGACCTTGGGTATAATATAATAATAGGCTTTCATCGTGATTTTATTATTGATTTATTTTTAAAGATGTTTTCTTGATCTTTTAGAGAGGGGGGAGAGGGAGAAAGAGAGAGAAACATGGAGGTGAGAGGGAAGCTTCCATTGGCCGCCTCCTGCCCTCCTCCTAAGGAGGCTCAAGCCCACAGCCCCAGGCACTGCCCTGACTGGGCTTGAACTGGCAACTTTTGGGGTGGGTGGTAAATGCCCAACCAACTGAGCCACACTGGCCAGGGCTTATTATTTATTTTCAAGATATTTCAGAGTACTCTGTGCACTGGTCTTGATTTAATAAATTATCCTTATTTTCCAGTATACTGTTGAATCACAGCTTCAACTTCACGGACTCAACACTGAGAAAAGTATGCGGATTGTAACGCCAAGAGAGGTATATGAGAGAGAACTATTCATCATGCTTCTATTTAGTATTCATTTTTTTCTTTTTTTCTTTAGATGTTTATTATCTTCATTATTTTAATGGAACTTTCAAGAAAGTATAAAAGACTTATAGTTCTGTAACCGGCCATTTTGCTTAAAATGGAAAACTAACTCAGAAATGTATTAGTTTTTATTTTTCAAGGGCTAGTCAGATTACAAACAAATTGCTTTACTTTTAATAACACTGGAGTCGGCCATATTCTTCAGAGGGATGGGAGAAGATGGCAAATTGCATATATCATTTTCAATTTTAAATGCCATTGCCTGTAGACACTGTTAAGGTCATATTAAAAACTAGTGTCATTTGTTGGAACTGAATGATGCCTAACTTTTATGCCTCTTCTTAATCTAAGTATCAAATGTTTTCTTTTGAGCTTGGACTAAGGTCTAGAAAGAGACATGTGAAGTAGGAAATGCTTGAGTTCATAAGTGGCTAATATACCCCTGAGAAATACAGACCCACCAACTTACTGGGTAAGGGACTTTGGGAAAGTTACTTTATTTCTCTGAGATTCCTTCATATTTAAATGGGTAACAGAGGAAACACCTAATCAGACTTGACCATGTTTAAGATCTGAAATACTGCACACTTTACATTAATAGAGACATAAGGCTAAGTTGTAGAAACTTTGACATAGAAACCCTGCAGCTTGTGAAATTTCATACCGAGAGATCCACACAGAATAAATTTTTGGTTTCACAAATGATGCTACCAGGCTGTTAAGTTAATGTTTGAGCAATTATTTCTTTCTAACGAGAACACTTTGAGGAATTAAAATCTATTTCATTAACTTCTATTTGCCAACATGCAATAAATCAATGAAATAGAAAGTTGCCACACCCGTGAGAGGATATTTTTTCCATAGGTTATATATAAATAGCTAATTTCCAAAAAAAATGAATAGAGCCACTAATATATCACAAGTCTTAATGTTAAAAGTGACAAGCGTTGAAGCCTCATGAGGTAATCATCATCTTGGGAGCACTCGTCAGCATTACTATGTTACAGCAAGCCAAAGTGAGAGAGGACCATATCCCAGCGATATTCAACCTTTTTCATCTCATGGCACATACACCGATTGCTAAAATTCTGTGGCACACTAAAAAATAAAGCTTTGCCAATCTGACAAAAAAAATAGGTATAATTTTGATTCATTCACACCAGAAGGCTATTGTTGTGTTGGCTGTTGTCACTTTTTATTTTATTTTAATTGACAATCCAAGGGAAAAGAGGTCAATGCCCTAATTAAATAGTCAGGTATTGCATGTTTTAAAAGTTCCTGTGGCTCACCAGTGTACCTCGTAACACCAGTTGGAAATCACTGCCATATCCTATCTTTAACACGTATATGCATTTGCTTAAAGAAAAACAAGTATTAGTATATAGAGTACTTTCTCAACTCTTTTTTGAAAGTATGGTGGACAAACCATATTAGATTGTTTAAGAAAAAGAGTTTTGGATTATTATGTTACCCATTTTTCTTCGAATCTTACTCAGAGTTACTGAAATTCTTTTTATATATAAAATACACATCACTTAATAACTCATAGATTTCAATATCAATACTATTTTTATAGATTCACATTTTGTAAACAAGTTCTAATCTTCTAGTAGAAACTAGAGTATGTATTGTATTTGTGATATATAAAATATATGCCTAATATGCGATGCACTAATTAGCAAATAGCGAAGATTACAAAAAAATTAAAAATAACTGCAGGAAAACTTATGAATACTTTATTATTTTTTTAAATATGTTTTTATTGATTCCAGAGAGAGGGAAGGAGAGGGAAAGAGAGATAGAAACATCAATAATGGGGGAGAATCATCTATCAGCTGCCCCCTCCACGCTCCCTACTGCTGATCTAGCCCGAAACCTGGACAGGTGCCCTGACTGGGAATCGAACCATGATCTCTAGGTTGATGGGTCGATGCTCAAACACTGAGCCAAACTGGTCAGGCTAAAACTTAAGAATAGTTTAATGGATTTCCCTCAAATATTAATAGAGTTAGTGATGCTTTACTTGAAGATCACGTGAGATTTAACATAGGAGAACATTCCTGAAGATTTCATAAATAGATAAAAAAATTGTTATGACACAAGTTGATCTTTGTATTTCACTGATTTCTTTTTGTTCAAGTTGTTTGCAAGACTAAGTAACTAGTTATTAATCTTAGGTGGGGAGATGTGCAGAAAAATTACCTTAATAAATGAGTTTTATTGATTTTTTTCATGTTTGGGTCTTGACCTTTAGACTCATGTAGAAGAGATTTAACACAAGTTAATAGATTATATTGGTTAGTTTATATTCAGATGAAAGATGCATAAGTGTTTTTATTCTGCAAGAAATCCCCACAATATTAGATTTAAAAGTGAAATACTTCTAAGAAATTTCTCTTGCCGTTTAATATTTCTATATTTTATTGGATGGGAATAAGAGGGAAAGAATTTATAGGTAAGCAAATAGTAACAATTAATTGGAAAATCAATTAGGGTTTTGCAAAAATTTATACTTTATAAAACTCTTTTTACTATTTTATTATCATTATTTAATAATAATAATAATAAAGCATGTTCAAATGCTGCTCTTGTCAAATTTTGGAAGATCATTAATCTAAAAAAAATTACCTTTGATTTTACTTATGGTGGGAAAGTGCTCATGGTGAATTTTAGATTGGGAAATATGAAGTGAGAAATTTATAATTGTAAATACTATGTAACTTGTGCCTTTAGGGGGAGGAAACCTTGAGAACAGAGGATATCCTTGAAGTGATTGAGAAGGAAGGAGACTCCATTGCAGTGATCATGTTCAGTGGGGTGCATTTTTATACAGGACAGTACTTTAATATACCTGCCATCACAAAAGCAGGACAAGCAAAGGTATGTACGTCGTTCACTCCTTCTCACCGCACCCCAAACATCACTCTACTGAGAAGTATGCCAACTGCACTTCTAGAGAAATACATTTGTGTCTGTGTAAAATTATTTAAAGAGATAAAAAATAAGAAAGCTTTACATTAAAACAATTCTATAATCTTTTTTGCTTTAGGCTCTTCCCTTTAAACCTCTTTTTGTCACTTCTCTGGTCTCACCTCCTTACTGGCATCTGCTGTCCCAATGTTCACCTGTAGTCAACAGGTGAGCTTCCTGCAGGTGATGTCGCTGGTACTGAGCTGCTTAGTCAACAGGCAGCAGATAGACTATTTAAGATAGTAACTACATGCTAAGGCTGTTTGTCACCCTGTAACTCATTCTAAATATAATTCAGTCTCGAGTAATCCTAGGTACCTGGAGGAGAGATGCAGAATTAGAGTTTATCAGTAGATTGAGTTTCACACAGTTTACATTAAGGAAGCCGTTTTTATCCCTGAGAATCTTAAGAAATTATATTGCCTATAACAAGAATGTTTCCTTAAGTATTACTAAATCACGCTTAAATTTTTACCATTTTGAAATTGTATCTCTTTATATATATGTTTGTAAAAAGTTTATTTTAATATTTGTTTGCTTAAAAAAAAGAAGCCAGAGAGGGACAACACTCAACGGTTACACTTTGGAATTAAGATCCTTAAATAACAGTTCTATTTGATTCGGCAACCAAGTCATGTATTTAAAAAGGTGACAATCAAATTTTGTTCTGAACATTATTAAGTTATGGGATTAATCTGTGTGTGAGGTCTAGTTAATATATTCAGTTATTGAAGCTAATGAATGGAACTAATGAAACGAAATTTAGCACTGTTATCAGCAGTCTCTGGGAACTTCCAACCACGACTTCCAACTGCTTTGATAGATAACTGTGAGAGTGGTACATTACAAAAGATATAAAGATAATGTCTTCTTAATTTAGATATTAAATGTTAAGCACCAAAATAGAGGGAGGCCAATAAAAAATCATATTTTAAAATGTTTTACAAGTAATCAGCAGTCCCTGAATCCCATTCACATGCATGTCTCATTAACCTTCACAGAAATGAGCGCGGAGATAGAGAAGAAAGACCATGGGTTTGGGAATCAATCACACAGAGGTTCAAATCTTGGCGACATCATTTAATTGTTACATGATCTCGAGCAAATTACTTGACTTTTCTGAGTCTCTGTTTTCAAAAGTGTTATTTTGAGATAACAAGACCAGTTCATAAATTCAGTGTGGATATCAAAGAGTATAAAATACCTATTGGGATGCACATATTCTGCTGCTAAGTGGTGGTCACCTCCCCCTTCCACTGTCCTCAATATGAAGTTACAGTAAGCGGCTCAAATATTCATTTTCTTTTATTTCCCATTTAAAAGCAATAATACATTTGTATACTTAAGTGTTATATATAATTCTCATTCTTCACCACTTTGTTTGTTAAAATCATCCTCTCAGCATTTCGCATGCTTTCCTTTAGTGCCTACCAACGGAAATTCTCTTGAGCTTTCAGTCAAATAAAGATAAGAATGAGTAGTTTCATCTAAATGTAACCACAAAGAAATGATACACTGTGGGAGTTAAATGGTGATATAGCAGGCTTTGATATATCCATTATAAACTGGTTCTAACAAACATTTATAATCTTGGTATACAATACCCCCTTTCCTCACTGGAGGTTGAGAAAAGTTCTTTAAAATGTAGATGTACATAGCTCTCTTGGGTGGTCTCTGAAGATAACACTGAAGGAGAGGCAGAGAGAATATTAAAGGTGTCAATCAAGAGAGAGAGGAAGTTCTAGAAAAGGCTGTTAGAAATGGCTCAGTGAGATAAAAAGAGGAAAGTTTTTAGACATGAAATATGGTTGGAAACAAAAATAATGTTGGGAAGGAGCAATGAAAGTCAACAAGAATATTTTGAAGTCGGGACTTCAAAATTATGTGAAAGGAAAGTGAAGACAGGAATTGTGAAGACTATATTAATTCAAGAAATGGGGAAAAGAGTAAAGTGGCTTGATGAATTATTTTGTTTTGGGTTTTTGTTTGTTTGTTTGTTTTTATTATTATTTTTTATTACAGATGTCACCTTTTTTTCTCCATTGATCCCCTCCACCCCGCATCCACCCCACTCCCAGGCCTTCCCCATAACAATGTCTGTGTCCATGGGCTATGCTTATAAACACATAAGTTCTTTGATTAATCTCTCCCCAGCCACACTCCCCTCCCCACCTTCCCTCTGAGACCCCTCAGTCTCTTCCACGCTTCTATGTCTCTGGATCTATTTTGCCCATCAGTTTATTTTGTTTATTACATTCCATATATAAGTGAGATCATGTGGTACTTGTCTTTCTCTGACTGGCTTATTTCTCTTAGCATAATGTTCTCCAGTTCCCTCCATGCTGTCCCAAAGGATAAGAAATCTTTCTTTTGAATCTTTAGAACCCTCACACCTACATCAAAAAATGTCTAGAACATTTATAACACTCAGAATTTTAAATTGTGCCTTCTTCCAAGTACTGCCTGTTACCTTTCCTCCAAAAGTACCACTCTCCTGACTTCTAACTATATACAGGGTGTCCCTTAGCATAATATTCTCTAGGTCCACTGTATTGCTGCACATGGCAAGATTTCATTGTTTAAAAAAGTATGTTTTTACTGATTTTAGAATGAGAGAGGAAGAGAGAGGAATAGAGGGATCGAGCCCAAAACCCGGGCATGTTTCCTGGCTCAGGGAATCAAATCCGTCACCTGTTGGTTCACGTGTTTCCTTCAACCACTGAACCACACCGGCCAGGCAGTATTTCATTTTTTATGGCCAAATAATATTCCATTATCTATATATCACATCTTTGTCCATCCATTTAGTGAGGAATATCTAAGTTGCTTTTGGATCTTGGCTATTATTAGTAATGCTTCAATGAATGGAGTGGTACATATATATTTTTGAATTAGTGTTGTTGTTTCCTTCAGGTAAAGATCCAGAAGTGGAATTGCTGGATTGTATGGCACCTCTAATTTTACTGTTTTGAGGAATCTGTCTACTGAATTTACAATCCCGCCAATAGTGTAGAAGGCTTCCCTTTTCTACACATTTTTCCAGCATTTGTAATTTGTTGATTTATGGATGATAGCTATTCTGACAGGTGTGAGTTGATATCTCACTGTGGTTTTAACTTGCATTTCCCAGATGATTAGTGATGTTGAGCATCTTTTCATATGTCTGTTGGCTATTTGTGTGTCCCCTTGGAAGCAGTGTCTATTCAAGTCCTCTGTCTATTTTTTAATTGCTGTTTTTTTTTTTTGGTGTTAAGTTGTATGAGTTTTATATATATATTTTGGACATTAACCCTTTATTGAATCTATTTGCAAATCTCTTCTCTCCTTTAGTAAGTAGTCTTTTTATTTTGTTGATGATTTTCTTTGCTGTAAAAAAACTTTTTAGTTTTATGTAATCCCACTTGTTTATTTTTGTTGCCCTTGCCTGAGGAGACTAGCCCCCCAAAATTATTGCTAAGAGCAGTGTCAAAGAACATATTTCTTCTAGGAGTTTTATGGCTTTAGATCTTACATTTAAGTCTTTAATCCATTTTGAATTTATTTTTGTATATATCTTTTTAGATTTATTCTTTTGCATGTAACTGTCCAATTTTCCCAAAACCATTTATTACAGACACTGTCTTTTCCCCATTGTATAATCTTACCTCTTTTCTCATAGATTAATTGACCGTGCATATGAGAGTTTATTTCTGGGCTCTATATTCTATTCTATTGATCTATGTGTTTGTGTTAGATTGATATAGTAAACACTGGAAAAATACCTTATAGAAGAGTATATTTTCATTGTATATACACGTGGGTCTCTATCCCAATAAAAATATCATTACCATGTGATTGATAAATTATATTGTCACTTTAAATCCACTTTATAACAGGACAGGCAGATAGAAATAGATAAATAAAAGTCAGAAGTCACCCTGCACCCAAAAAGTCAATTGCACGTTATTGGGAAGTTTGCAATTGAGCCCATATATCCCTTATTTGATCCCCTGCTTTGCATTTCTCCCCCGTGATGACCATCACTCTTCTTCTACCATTTATGGAAAAAATTCAAATCGCTAGCTTTTTATGATTTGCATACCTAAATTATCAATATTATATTTTCCTTTGCTTTCCACATAACTTACATTGCAGCTAAACCAAGCATTTGGTATGTTTCCTGTCCAGATATTGCACTTTCTCCTTCTATGCTTTAATCATTACCGTATGTAAATATCTTCTGTTTCTCTACCCAGGTCAGCCACTACCTGCTTCATAGGTTACAACGTGTCTTAGAGATTTGCTTTGCTTAGGCCTCTCTGTATATGCAAATACATATGGTATACTTAAAATTTTTAAATTAAGTGCCAACAATGGAAGTCAGAAGATTGTACCATATGATTTGTGGAATATAATGAACAAACTGAGCTACCAAACAAAATAGAGAGACTCATAGATAGAGAGCAGGCAGACAGCTCTGGTATGGGGGCTAGGAGTTGGGGGAGGGGCAGGGATTGAGAGAAAAAGAAAAAAAAGACAGAGACTCTTGGACATGGGTAATAGTGTGGAGGTTGCTGGGGGAGGGGAGAGAGAGGTGGAAGAGGGCATAGAGGGGATAAATGGTGATGGAAAAAATTAAATCAAATTAAATTTTAAAAAATAAAAAAGCTCCTAGTTTCAAATGTCTTCTGAAAAATTAGCAGTTTGGCAACACTGGGCCATCATTCCTGTAGAACAGTGAGTGACAAAGCTGAGTCACAGCAATTGAGTACAACCTCCAAATCTATCCATTGACCCAGCACTGAAGCACAGTGACAGCTAGCATATATATTTATGTTTATGTTGGAGTACTCTTACAATAACAGGTAAAGGGAAATATTTCTTATATTAGGTGACTAACTCCTGTAGAAACATGAGTGTTCAACCCTTGA